TGATAAGGGTATATACTCCCAAGATGTTAAAAGTTACTGAAACACTTTCTTTTTTCCTAATAACAATAAATAGATATCAGAATTCTGTGAACAATAACATCGTATCCTTATGATTGAAGTAATTCGTATGAAAGACATATACATCTCTGTCTCCATAATACACATCTTTGCATATATAATATATATAAGTAATTTGTATTTCATTCATTTTGCATTCCATTATATGCATGAACAGTTGACCTATTATCTCATGAAGTTTATTTTATGAATTCAACTGGATATATATTGAAATTGTTTTGCATTAGTTAATTCTCTATATGAAATTGATCATGTTACGTTTTTATTGATACCTTGAATGACCCCAGAGGAAACTTGTTTCAAGGTAAGCGTCGCAATTTGTTTGTTTACATTTATCACGTATGATCTCAACATTCATTATGGTATCGCTTTTAATCTATCTCGTTGATACAATGTGTGCGCAGTTGTTGATTTGCCTTGATTGATATCAGAACATATACCATTGTAGACATGTGAATACAGCTATTGTTGTGATCTTTTGTATACTTTAGCATAAAAATATCAAGAACGATGCATTTTAGCATGTAATATTGATATTCTATGACAACCGTGTATTCACATTTAATCTGAACAGGATCACGGAAGGATCGACCATTTATATACATTTACGTAATATACAGTCCATAAATCTGGAATATTGTCGATTCTAGGGAGTATACATATGAATGTATGTGAGTATTTTGGATACATATATAAGCACCTTTCTCTGATTTAAAGAATATAATATCAATTGAAATTAGATTGAGATCGTTTGATTGTTGATATTCCTGATTCAAGTTCCGAAATTGGGAAGTACTCTGGCCCGAAGAATTATTGACAGAACTTGGGTAGGTCAGTTTCTGGCAATACATTGGTAGTACATAGTGTTTTTCAGTACACTGGTAGTACACTGTTTGATAGTAATGACAGCCGACTTGGAGTTGATTTCTAGACAACACACTGATAGTACAATGTATGCCACTACTTTGATGGTACAATAGATGACAATACCTTGGCAGTACAGGCGGTATTTGACAGTACCATGGTAGTTCAGTATTTAACAGTACTCCGGAAATACAAGTATAATATTTGACAATACACGTGTAGTAACATATTTGACAGTACTCTCGTTATACAAATTTTGACAATACTCTTGTAGCAAAGAATTTTACAACTCTAGTAGTAGTACAGTATATATCAGAGCTTTGTAAGTGCAACGATGTTTGACAGTTGTCTGGTAGCACTGACACAGTACTCTCATAGAATACTATTTGACAGTAGTCTGATATTGCACTAAGTACTATCCAAGAAGAACAAGTTGATAATACTATTACTCTGGTAACATAGAATGTGGCACTACTCTGGTAGGGCAGTATTTGATAGCACTCTATTCGTACAACATTCGGCAGTTTGGGAAATGCACAACCGGATTGGAAGAACTGTATTTGACAGTTCTCTTGTATAACAATGTTTGACAATACTACACTCTGCGTGCACAGAATCTAACTAAACTCTGCAGGAACACTTTGACAGTATTCTAGAGGAACCCGTTCTACAGTGTACTCTGCGGCTGGTAGGTCAGTTGACCAACTCAACTTTGGTTGACTTCGAAATATTCGCTACAATCAATCTAATAAACAATCAATGGAAAGTAGAATAATAAATTGTTTACATGTTTACCCTTTCTGTGTCGACCTGACCTTGAATAACTAATCGGTATCATTAGTTACCACGCGTGCTTATTTTATATGATCAACCCCATGCAGGTTAATACAGGTAATGTCATAACTTAGAGGCAACCAAAATCTTCAAAAAAACTGTTCTAACCAATTAGAATTGATATAACATATATCAGTAAAATAGTTTTACCGATGTTCTTCTGGGATGAGGATATCCCATGAAAATACCAGAGGGATATGACGATATCCCCATAATTCAATGGTGTATATTCCCGGGTTAAGTCAATACACCATTGCTGAAATCCTAATTTTCTCAGAAGAACATGGTTGCCTGAGTCAACCAGTAGAAATATGTTTTTCAAGCTTTTGGTTATCTCTAACTTGCACATACCGGAACATCAAAATATGCACGAGTTGCTTCATCAACTGTCACTCGTCTCAGAGAATGTAGTCAAGGTTAGGAATTGTTTATTTGACCTACATATCAATTTGTTTTCCTCTCACAAATAGAAAAACTGAAATAGCTGTACAAACAGTCATTACCACCAGTTAAAAGAGCATCTGCATAAATTTTATTTAAGTAATTTTTTCCGATGTATGCAATTTAATTAAACAATAATAGAGTATTTATGCATCAGCAAGTTATCGCACAATTGCATTATATTGCATTATCACACACTTGCGTTGCATTATCGCACACTTGCATTATATTGCATTACATATAACAAAGTTAAGGAAGCAATCTATTTACTTTGTTTTACTTTGTTATCTTGAACATGGCTAGTCGAAGGTGTTTCATATCTAGGTAATGAGAATTGTCAATCAGTGTGGAATTTCAATGGTAACCTGTTAATGTCGATTCTGTGATACAAGAATAGTAAAAGCCCGAGCGGCAAAATGAAAATTCACAAAACTTCAAGACAATGAACAAATGTTAATGTAGGCTTGAAGGTTGATGGATCGATTTTGTAGAATGACTTTTTATTATGACCCTTTGATTTTTGACATATTTGAGAAACGAGTAGAAACTTTTCTGGTTGACCATTCCCTCCTCGAAATATAACGTAACAATAATTTATGTTTATCTTATTGATTTATTATCAAGTTTAACCTGATTTTAACCTGTGTATTTTTATCTTATACAGTTCAAAATGATATTCTTATGCGACATTTTCAGGAACACAATGATAAAGTAAAGTTGTATACAGTGTGAGTATAATCACTAAAGAACAGAATCATGTTTATTGGTCAAATCTGCGCTTTTCGTATTATGGAACTAAGATGCATATTTGGTGAATGATACTTATGAATGCAAGACCTTTCCAAGACTTCCGATCCTCTTGAGCAGGTGTCCAGAATCCGTACCTCCTTCTAAAGAAAGAAGTATTCTGGATTTTGAAGCCCTGTGATCGGAGGATGAAGACTTTCGAAATCGAAATACTTCCAAAAGAGCAACACATCCGTCTGTTACTCCATTCTCACAAAATGGTTATGACGTGGAATACATTACTCATATACGAGAATACATTACTAATGTACAAACACCAATTTCACAAAACAAAATTAGTATATTTTCTTGACCTTATCAAAAAAGGGTGTATCCATGTACAAATAATCGCTCTGAAAAGAAAAGCAAAAAAGTTCATTCCAGGAAAGTCTAAAATATGATATATTACAAAATATTAGAACACATTAGTGTATTCTGGATTATTGTTTCCTGGATGAAGAATAATGTTGTCAATCGTTGACATTTCCTTGAAACAATATTTGAAAAACGGCCATCCTTCAAAATTTTAGCGCACATTGAAATCTGGGATTAATGGTAAATTGACAACAAAAACAGTGCACAATTGCTCCAGTGGTCAAGTCTTAATACAAATTAAAAACTTGCCATCGATTGTTTCCTTTTATAAAACGTTTTTGGTTAGTTTGGTCAAAAGCAAACGTTTTGCCTCTAGAGTTTCTTGGAATCATTGGGAATCTCATTGGGATAAATGAGTTTAGTGACCAATATAAAAAACCAATCGGGTTATCTTGGACAACAGTCTTGATTACTGAAAGTCTATACTTGTTTGTTTTTCATTGACGCGTGACCGCCTGTCAGATTAACTAACTAAACTACAGCAGACATCAGTATTTATGAGGGCATATTGTCTTCTGAGGTTTGGAGTCAGTCCCACCCACATGATTTGGCATTGTCTACAAGACATTGTCTCATCTTACGACATTAGAAAATAGGTTCCTCTGCTAATGCATGAAAGTCACAGTATTTCGATCCAATTTCGTGTTGTATCATTTGTGCAGAGTTGTTAATGGTGTATTATTCAAATATATAACTGTTATATTATGTTTCGGTAAAGGAATGGCTATTTCTAAAATTAATGGACATGACTGTGGTTCTTAGTAAAAGCCACTATGAAGATCAAAGGGATCCATAATGAGGTCGGTAAACTCTTGGTATTTAGCTGTGAATACAGGCACTGATAGCTCCCATGTGGCTTAATGTTTACAATCCCGGATGTAGAGTATGCGTGCGCATCACCATATTTGATATCCTTACTCGCTCATGTGAATGTATCATGGTCAAACACATTAGACACAGATCAACGAAAGTTAGAGATGTGTACATGTTTTTGTGTATTATGGGTCAGTAAAACAATGACTGGACGTTATGTTCAAAATGTCTCAAGTCATTTACATGCACTTTTGTATCTCTGCCCTCGGTAGTTGTATTTTGTTGGCCCCTCATCATTTAGACTGGTCAGCTGGTTTGTCCAACTCCGACAAATGTAGCTTGAGGTACTTTGACTCATTCTGTTTCAATAAAATAACTTTGGCATCTGCACATATGTGTTTGATGCAGGTCTGTAGGCTATATCCGCCACTCATAAAGCTGAAAGGTGATAGAATGAATGACTTTTTGAAGCAATATAAGTAAAATACATACATCAATTTCTGTATGGCAATAAATTCTTGTAGACAGTACATCTATTTATGACCAGTAAGTATCCAAGGAGTAATTTGTATTATTAAGGGTGATGATAGTGTCAACTTTAGAAAGACTGTCCAATCAACAAGATATGAGATATATCTACAAAGCGAGTAAGAATTTGCCTGAAAGAGCCATTTGTATGCATTAGCGCTCAGTACTGATTAGACTGGAATTAAACTTTATTACATTTGGTCTTAAGGGTCCGACCTCATTAAAGGAAGCATGCATGTCAAATTGCGAGATAACCATAACATTGCTTTTTCTACTTTCAGAGGATTTGGTCGGAGATTGACGCTCGACAAACTTAAGAAATACATTTACTCACCGGTAAGTACAGCTTCATATATTTTACACATAACGTAACTTTAACTTAATTAATATTCTTATCATATATATCCAACGTGCCAAAAACCAGCCTGGTTTAGTCTACCAATTAATAGAGAGTGCGAAGTGACTTCTAATGCTCACAATTGTTAAACTCGTTCATGGCAACTGTTTCTCTGGAGATAACCGTTGTATAATTTACTGCACTAGCTAAAGGATTGCTCGTTAGTCTGTCAAATAATTCGTTAATTATTGCTCTGGTAGGCGATCTAACTCGTACTACATCTTATTGTATAGAGGTTCAAAAGTGACAGATTTATGAACGCTTTGCTACACAGTTGACTTTCTTTGAAATTAATATGTTGGTGGTTGTTCGGTTAAAAACTGAATGTTCGGATACAATTGTCAATCAAATATATATATTTACAGATTTAACGAATTTTGAATATAAACTGGTTCAAGATAACTTCATAAAAACTTCTGATAATCTAACTGGACCTTCTATCTGTCTATATGATATCGCTAGTAAAAGCTGTGAATTCTTATACAATATGTCACTACATTTCAGTTTGACATGAACAGTCTTCTTTTAATAACCAACAACATATTATAAAAACAACAAGAAGTAAACGCACACAGCTGAGATATATTTTTCATCATCAAATTATGACAAGGTCATCAACTAAGGTGACTTTTCGAGAACAAAAAAGTATTTAATACAATACGGACTGCTTTTAAGACACTGACAATTGAAATATGTCTTTCCGTTCTTTCTGTCAACTAGTAGTGGTTCCGGTGTGTTGGTCCATTCACTCGCATGTCTTCGCTAATGCATGGGTGGGAATTGCCAATTTGCATATTGTGTATCGAAAAAGTAAGAGTATAATTTAAACATTTGTCGAAGAGCTTTATTTATATGCAGATGATGTCGATGTTTTAATAGCAGCTGGATCGTATTTGATATGCCAATGACAATCCGATGCTAATTTAACTGACAAATGACCACTGGTCATTATACAATCCTTGGAGGGAATCTTTTATCTTATGCATTGTTATGATCTCACGTGATTGATAGTTCTATTTCTCCGCTTCGTCAGTCCGATCGTTCGTCTGTAAATTATTCCTGTAATACGTAATGCGTTTACATCTGAGTTGTTGATGTGTCATTCTCTAGTATACCAATGAGATAGATAATGGCTTAATATGGGTCATTTATCTGCGTCGACTTCTACACTGTAGCCATCCATTTTGCTGACTGTGTCGTTAAAACAGACGCAGGTGTTTCCATCGACCACAGCTTCCCAGGCGATGTAATCCAACGCTGAAAAACATATACAAATGCATCAATTAATTGAAGTTTGACAAAGTATGAAACGTTGACAAGTTGTAGAGTCACGACATACTGATGAGCAGTGATGTGTTTGAGGTTCTCTAAGTAGTGTGTGATGTAAGAGCAGAAGCTAGTACAGATGTACACGAGCCAACATAGGAATACTAATATATTAAGATATATCTATTTTACGCATTGTAAATGACGGGACATGTGTGCTTATATTGCATATTCTAATTTTAAACAAAAGCTTGAGCTCTCAAGGAATTCATGAACAGTCTGCGGCAATTATAAACAAACAATGTGAAATGGGATCATTGTTCATGATTAGAATATTCGACTTGAGCTTGTTTGGTTACGAACTTGGTACTTTAACAATGACTGCATGGGCATAATCACAAAAGCCAGACACAAGGCAGGCGAGGCAACTTCCTAACCAAAATTTACAAGATCAAAAATGTTCAATAGAAACGTTAAAGAGAAGTCAAACTGATTTTTCATATGGTCTCAACTCAATGTTTGCCTCTTCTTTTCTTTGCCTCGCCTTATTTTAAACACTGGCTACGGCGCTGGAATGCAATACGAAAGTAATATACCATGTGTTCGGTGATCACGTGGTAATGGTCGAATCGCAGCATTTCTTCCTCAAAATGTCAAGGTCGAATCGACCTGTTCTGCTCGGAGTACCTTTTGAATTCTTTAGAAATAGATCCAAGGTCTAAAAAGGTCATATCGCTTAAGAAATACAAGCCCAACTATGCGCATCATACACAATGGTATATTATGCAGTTGGATGTCGGATTGGTTTACGGTTAGTATCCCATAGTCAATGGCATTGTCTGCGATTGCCCTTATATTATAAACAGCCAACTGAACTAGACCACAGTGGGCTAAGCTTTTGACCAAATCTTATATTTGGGTATATGGGCATTTCAAGAAAGGCTTATCCATCTCGCGGCGTCATTGTCTTCATTTCACCAAAATGGTGCGATTCGGGTGGCACAGCATTATGTAATCAACATACACTTTGGCAATGATAACTTAGAGAAATTATTAATGCCCATTAATGTAGATGTATTTTATAGATGTTGTAGCTTCAAATCTCATTGTGATGATGCATGGGATAAAAGTTACTATAGCGGGAAATTTGAATTGAAATATGTTTAATCTATAGTGGAAAAAGTATGACTCATTATTAAAAAGTATGGGATCAGGAAGATAATTCTCCTGTAAGGTTAGTTTTTCGAGTTTCAAGTTGAAACCTTCAACTCTTCTTCGAAATCCGAAGTCGGCCCAATACTATTGTCAGCTATCGCTACCGCAGAAATATTGTGGTTTCAAATATAGTTTTAGGGTAAACGAATAACCCCTGGGCATTCGCCAATTAGTGATGAAATTCCATGACTGGATTAATCTGCAACCCAAATTAAAAGATATGCCTTTGAGTAACGTAACTTTCCATCTTCATGTTGCTTCATAGCGAGATCAATTACCGGGGTATTCCAGACCATCCCCGGGTTATCCATCACTTCAGTTGCTAATAGGGCCATAATAGCTCCCTTGGATACGTTAAGACAATGGATCAAAAAGTTATTTTAAACCAGAATGGGTTGGAATCATGTTGTTTTTGGTATTAAGGCGTGTTTTCAAGAATTTGATTGGAATAATGTGGGAACGTTCGGACATTGTCTAGCATTGGTCAAATTTTGAGCCTGTGTCTAGCAGTTCGAAAGAATATGCAACAGCATTTAACGTTCAGACAATAGCCCCATATCATTTGACACCATAATAGGATGGAATTGATGTTATTTTGGTATTGATTTTGATAAAGTGTTCGATTTGAGAAGGAAAGGTTTGGCGGTTTCTTGTCTTGCATTGTCACAAACAATGTGAGATTCACAGCTTGTACTATCGCTACCACTGTAGAAAATATTGGCTATATAAGAACCAATTAAATCAATCACAGAGGTAATTGACCTTGAGTATCATGGGAAGGCATAACATGCAGTTGCATGGATATATAAATAGACAAAGCCTAATGAGTGTGACAATGAAGAGCAACCAAATTCCCTCCCAATATGATGATTTTTTAAAATTGAAATTGGAAACATTAAGAAAAGGGGAATTTTGTAGACGGTAATAATAAAGTCATTGATGTTCAATATTTAAAACAAGCACTTTCTAAGAATATGTCTTGTCCTAAATCTGAGTTCCATTTCAAACATCAGCTACAAAGGGAGTTTCAAGAATGCTCGAAGAGCTTCGCGTGTCGTTCTGTCTGCTCAGAGTTGCAATTGATTAGAATAACGTCAATCACATATTCAATTTAGGTTATATATGATGATGCACGACTTGATGATATTCTGAATACATAATCTTGTATTTTCTTGTCTTGGCCACAACTTTTCACAGGTTCTATACAAGTGCGTGCTTCACAAAGAGAAATGTGCATTTTAGTTTTGCAGTTCAAGAAACAGATGTCTCCGAATAGTCACCCCATCCATTATGCTTTGTATTTGATTCTTAAATGACGTGCATATTGCATTTGGTTACGATGACATTTGAGCTGAAAAGAAGATTAGAACAGACACTTGATATGCATTCAGTATGCATCTTTTATGGCATGTCAGATTCTTTCATGTTAATAATATGAAATGCCATTTTACGAGTTGATATGGTCAGTTCAAACCAACTGACCTGCACTAAGATTGACTTTTGTCGTGATTATCCATTCACGAAGCTATTGTTTTTTGTGATATGTAAATTTAATTTTGATTGACAGGACAGCATAACCTTATGTGCTACTTTCCCATGACATAGGATTCTTACCCACATGTGTTCAGGCAGCATGTCGGTTTGCTTAATACCAAAAGCTCTGGTTCCTGATGTAATGGTATCGATGGCTAACTAAGCTACCGATAAATTAAGACCAGTCAATCAATGTCAAGCTCAAATGATTCAGCGTCGTATTTCCTAATGCCTTTGTAATCATGTCTTGTATAAAAACTACATCTACCATGGATGCGTAGAGATGAGCGGTGACTCGATGTCGGAATATATCTACTCATATTATATCATATTGATATCGCATAAATAAGCGACGGTAAGTGAACTTCATTGTTTGAAATTGATCATGGATAGACTGACTTCTGTCTGGAACTGCATGGAATGATACAGACAAGGATCATAAATCTTTTGGCATTACCGGTGTGTTAAAATATTTACTTTTTGTTTCCTCAATGAAAAAGCATGTGCTAATAAGATTACATTTGATCGATATAGTTATTCATTTCTTTCTACGTCATTTCCTTTAGACTAAACTAAATGTTTAAACGAGCCACGTGATTCAATCTCATATGTAGCATCTTCTGATATGCCAACCGAAAGAAGAAATGCAGAGGTAATTGTCAATTCATATGTAAAACGATAACTTTTTGATAAATGACTTAAACAATTTATCAATGGCAAAAATATGCATTGCAATAAATCAGGATTGATCCACTTAAGATATTGTACAAAACAACTCTAATGGATAACGAAGGGATACACCACTAAGAGAATGCATCAATCCTCATAATGAATCAATGTTGAATGTTTCGTCTCCATGGTTTCCATATAAGCAAAAACTAAAATTAGTTTAATTTTGGATCCGTGTATTATAAAGATGGCATAA